GGATCGCAGGGAAAGAAGATACAACCATGTCAGGCCTTGAAGTTATTCCTTGCAGCCAGGGTTAGCTGAAATTCACCCAAGGAAAATAGGTGCCTCAACAATAAAGAAAGATCTTCTAAAGCAGGGGCATCAAACTCACGTCTTCACAGCGGCGTCACATGACATATTGGGACTTCCCCCCCCCCTTCGCAAAACCAGGCATGGGCGTGGCCAGCACGTGATGCATCTGGCCCCCAGGCCAGGAGTTTGGCAGCCATGTTCTAAAGGCTGAAGCTGCTATTAATCCCATTTACCCTCTTTATGAAAGGGCCATAGCTCAGGTCCACAACCATGGACTCAAGAGTTTCCCTCTTGTAAAAATCCATTAAGCACATATCTTGTGCTCCGGACAGTCTTAAAGAAGGAGGTACCGTGTTTCTCATATAATAAGGCTGGGTCTTTTTTTTTTTTTTTTGAGCCCTGAAAAAATGGCTAGGCTGTCTTTTCGGGGGTGACTTAATTCCCTCCCCCTTGCATCTTTGGGTGGGCGGGCGGCGACGGCTTGGATGTTGACCTCGGCGTTGGTGGGGCACTTTGTATCGGGGTCAACGCAGGCAGCACCATATCCAGGTGTGCAACAAAAGTACTTCCTAATGGCAAGACCCCCATTTTGCATGTTTTAATATAGGCCTTAATTTAGGGGGAGGGGCTTAATTTCATTTCATGCCTATAAAACATGCTGGGACTTCCTATTGGGGGAGGCCGTATTGTTGGAGAAACAGGGTACTTATGTCCTAACAGCACTTCTCCCCTTCTGAATTATTTTTTAGTCAGATAATTTTACTGCTTATTATTAATTTGTTTGAGTCAGTCAGTTTAAGGGCATAAACTGAAAAGGAGCATATTGCAAAAGGGGAAAGTCCTGTAATGGTATGTGGGAAAGACCTTGTGAGACGGAGCCAAGAGACACTGCCAAGGGAACAGTTAGATAAGAGGCAACATAGTCTGCAGCTGTATAATGGATGGGACAAGAGGCTCAGAAGAGACTCTCCCTAAGTTCCCCAGGCTGTAAAGGAGTCAGGGGGAGAATTGTACTTTCAGAATTGCAAGATGGTTGTTGGCTACTACACCATCAAGAATCCCAACCAGATGAGTTCATTCTCCTCTACTGTAAACTACATTGACAGAACCCTGCACTTTTTAGCATTCAACAAGGGAGGTTCGGTCATTACGGTTTCCTTTATTTGTTGGAAAGATGCAAAAATGGTGTGTTTGTCTTATGCCAGACAGATCACCTTGTAAGGGAGAAGGGCAGCAAACAAATATGTTTTGTATGGACAAAGCAACAGTCGGTCTCTCAGTGATTTTATTCTCTCCCAAACTGGGACGATTCTGCTGCAAAGGCAGAGAAAAGTTAGAAAACTAAGGGAGCAGAAAGGGAAGCAGAGAAGGAGCCCCCAAAGTCCTGCATCCAACTGCATCCAAACAGATTAAGTGGAGGCTCAGTTAATCTCCCTCCATCACTCAGCAAATAAACTTTGAACAATTCCCTTAAAACAGGTAATATAGAACTCATGCAATTTGCCTGCCTGAATTGATTTTATTTGGATTGTTGTGTGGATGATTGTTGGCTACTCTTGTTTTACTTTTCCCAATAACTCCCTTTTTGAAAAAAATCTAGAGATTTGGCTTCCTTGGTTCAGAAAAGGCAGATAAGTGCACTTCTTCCGAAAAGCTGCCCCTATGCAAAACTACATGATTGCACAGCGCCCCCTTGTGTTTCAAGAATAATTTCAGTTTTCAATTGTTCGCTTCAGGTAGGAAGATCCAAAGTAGCTTCCTTTCTATTTTTTTTCTATTTTTTTTTTCTAGAACTGGGCCTAAGAGAAACTCCTTACTAGGAGGGTTAAGGATCCCCAGTTAAACTGAGAGGATTGGGTCTCTCATCATTAACTTTTGCTGAAGAATTCCTGGGAAAAGTGGGTTAAATTATCTGTCAGGTTGTAACATGAGGTAATTATTAGCATACATTAAGGTATTGTTAAAGGCATAAGAACTACAGGTATTCCTCAACTTAAACAGTAGTGCGGTGGTGATGCAGTGGTTAGAATGCAGTATTGCAGGCTAATTCTGCCGATTGCCAGCAGCTCGATCCTTAAGGTTGACTCAGCTTTTCACCCTTCTGAGATGGGTAAAATGAGGACCCAGATTATTGGGGGCAATATGCTGACTCTGTAAACCACTTAGAGAGGGTTGTAAATCACTATAAAGTGGTATATAAGTCTAGGTGCTATTTCTATTCCTATTGCTACAACCACAATTGGATCTGAATTTCAATCACTTAAACAATAGTTATTAAGCAAATCCCCACCATATGACTGGTCCTGATTTTATGATTTTTAGTGCAGTCATTAAGCGAATCACACAGTCATTAAGCAAATCCAGCTTTCCCTATTGATTTTGCTCGTTGGAAGGCGCTATGAAATCATGATCACGTAACTACAGGATGCTGCAATCGTCACAAATAAGAGCTTGTTATCAAGTGTGCAAACCATGATCACATGGCCACAGAAAGCAGGTTGACAGTCATAACCTCAAGAACTGGTCGTAAGTCACTTTTTTCAGCCTCCTGGTGACTTTAAACTGTTGTTAAATAAATGGTCATAAGTTGAGGACTACCTGTAGTGAAAAAAACAAAAACAATCGTGCCACAATATATGTTACATTGAAATCTGTCTTTAAACCAAGGCCATAGCTCAGTGATAAAAATGCCTGTTTTGTCCAGATGAGTAAGATTCATGTCTGACATTCTGGAAAGCCTTCAAAGAGAAGAATTAGAGAATCGGAAGACAACGGAACAGTGGTTTAACTAACAGTAAGACATTTCCAATTCTAATAATTCCTGGTGTATGTTGTTGTTTTTTTCGCCCTCCAGGAATGGAAAGGCTGGCTAATAGCTTTGTACTACACCATAACACTCCCCCTGAGGACTGTCTACTTGATCCTCATCTTCACTGTTGAAGAATTGTCTGCCAAAATTAATGAGAACGTTCCCCAAGCTTGTTACATCCTAGAAGACCTCAAGTTGGTCCTTTCTGCGGTCACTTGCCTTCAGGAACTCTGCTGGAAAATCTTTGCCCGTGTCTGGGAAAAAATGTCAGAGGAAGAAAACCTCAACACTCTCTTGAACTATATCGTGCAAACGCTTCCCTTCTGTTTCTTTGCAAATCACTGCAAATGTAGGACCTCCACTGATAGCACAGCAAAAGCCTTAAAGGCCATTCAAAGGGTGCAGGCATCAAAGGACAGCCTTCTTGGACTGGAGGGAAGTGGAATCTCTTCAATAGTTACAGCCACTTGAACCCTGCATCTGGTCACCCGTGGGGAGGAAAAAAGGGGAGATGCAGGGGTTTGGACATATGAAGGGGTTGGCTCTTAACCAAAACCCCAGGGCAACTGCAAGCTTACAGTAAAATAGGAAATTGACTATCTGACACATTTGTGTGTGTTTTTCCTTATTCTTCTCAGCCATCTCTGAATCCCGTACACAACCTACTGGGTAAGAGATGGAAAAGGAAAGCAGAACAGTACCCGAATCTCAAAGTCCTCATATTATTGTAAGGTTGAAGGGTCCAACTATACCAGGGTTGGGCAACTATGGCCCTTTTATGAATTATGGACTTCAACTCCCAGAATTCCTGAGCAAGCCATGCTAGCTCAGGAATTTTGGGAGTTGAAGTCCACAAGTCATAAAGGGGCCATAGTTGCCCACCTCTGAACTATACCAACAAGGATTGTTCCTTAGAAGAGTTCTGTTTTGGAACCATCTAGGGCAGGGGTTTAAAACTGCCAGCCCGCGGGCCAGAGGAATCACATACAGGCCACACCCACCCCAGCTCCGTGAAAAGGGAAAACGTCACGAAACGTCACCTGATAGCAATGTGACGCAGCGAGTTTGACACCCATGATCTAGGGGGAGTAAATCCTAGATTTAATCCTAAATGGTGATAAAATAAGGTGCAAGGAGGAATTCTTATGGAAGCAATGAAAACGACGATGATTAATGTTAATCTCAGCCACTCCACAGGCAAACACAAACTGCCAGCTGGGTCTAATACAGTCACATTCAACAGAGGAAACTTCTCAAAAATCTGGGGACTGGAATTTTATAAATCTAACAGAAACAGTCAGGTGTGCCAAATCTCCCCCGATTCCTGCAAGTTGCTAAAACTTGCAACTTTTAGAAAACCTAGCAAATTTTACACTTATGTTTAACACATTTAGAGGTCACAACATCCCTTGATGGCTTCTAGGCAGCCTTTTTTGATTTTCCACTTCTTGGCTAATCCCATTTCACCACAATATTCTTTTGTTTGCAGTTTTCTGATTGACCCCTTTCCATCCCACTGTCTCTGGCAAGAATTTTTACTAACTCATCCATTCCTACTTTAAAACAATTATTATTGAGTTGTCATCAATGAGCAGCTTGAGCTAATGAGCAATGCAGTTTCAGAAATAAGGATAAACCAAATTACCACATAAGCACCAACCACAAATTTATTGATAATTATTGTCAGAACTTTTGTTATCTGGGTGCTTCATTCTACTCCACACAGAGAGGCTTCAAACAGATTTAAAAGAATGCTGCACTTCCTATTACTCTACTAAGAAGACCAAATTATGACACAATTATGTTTATAAATGGCCTTTTTGCTATCGGTAGTCCTTGACTTAGGACCACAATTGAACCCAAAATTTCTGTTGCTAAGCAAGATAATTGTTAAGTGAGTTTTGTCCCATTTGATGATTTTCCTTGCCATAACTGTTAAGTGAATCGTTTAGTCCTGGCTTGCCCCATTGACTTTGCTTGAACACAAAGTGAATGAATAGTAAAAAATAACTGCACTGAAGTGGTGGTTTTGTCAGAAAGAATAACTCAAGAAGACGCCAGACCATATAGATGTCATGAGCCCACTGGCATACAAAAGCCCTGGTTGAGAAACAAAACTGATCCATCCATCTGGCAGACAAACTCCATTTATTGTGAATTACAAAATCAGCATTATTGGTTTATGGTAGTTATTCGGATGTAAGGATTCCAAAGTGTATTTTAAAAAAACAAACTAACAGCCAAACCACAAACAGATCCAAGGTTTTGTCTTCTATGGTTCTGATGCCATCTGTGAGGTCTAGTGAAATTCATTATGTAAACTTGATGATTCACAAAAGCAATGGAGCTTGGATTCTGCTACTCCATCTTAACCCCTTAAAAAAAAACTAAAAAGGACAAACAGATGCAATAAAAATGTAAACCTGTATACAGAAATTAACCATTCTCAAGCTATGGTTCGCAATTGGAGTGGGCTATAAATTTTAAATAAAGCTCACTTCACTTCACCCCTACGTATGGTGTAAAAAAAAAAAAAATCCAATCATCATGTGATTTGTAAATTCAAACTTAGTAGTTTACTATATACAGGTCAAATAACATGGATGTTAAAATAAAGATTTGGGGTGGAATGACTGAGACACAATCCTCTCTGGAGAGGCTTCTGGGTTCAAATGAAGCCTTCTTCCTCACTGCTTGGAATTCAGCAAGCGCTTGTTCTCCAGGACAAAGGATATCTACATTTGGACTCCTTGAGGGAGAAAGTTGAAGAACATCAAGTAGCCCTTCCCAATTTGAAATATTCCAGATGTGTTGAGATTACAACTCCTCAGATTCTCAATGCATCTGGAAGATACCACCTGGCCTACAGGAAGTGATCCTTGATTCTCCTTGATTAGTGCACCTAGGGTCAAGGTCTACTATACTTAGGGACAGAATTGTATGACAATAGGAAAGACGGTGTCCTTTTTGTTTTCGAAAGTGAGAACATGAGAAATGTATACAGACCTGATAAAAAGCAAAATCAGTGTGCAATAAGGTGGAAAGAAGGATTACCAACAGCGTGCGTGCATGTATTTCTTGTGTGGTAATTACGGTAGTTCTATATAAATTAGCTATATTGTTTTATACATGTGACCTATGACCTAAAACTTTTTTTTCTTCCCTCTTTAAAACTATAATTTTAATCGCTCAACTTATTTTTTTAAAAAAATCTAATACTTCTCTTGCCATGTCCCTAATGGCAATTATGGAATATTAATATAAAAGGTGTGTATTCTTTTTTTTTTTCAAAAAGGTTGTGATATTGGCTAGTTATGTAAGTTTATAGCTAAATGAAGTAAATAAGTATTAAAAGCCTTCTATTATTAGTAGTGCCTTATACATAACATTTAGAAAAGCGAAATGTATATGTTCTAAAACTGTTAACTAGTTTTTATAAAATACAAACAAAAAAAGAGAGAGAAACATTATCAGTACCACTGCTGATTGCTATTGTCCAAATTCAGGGTATTCACTATAACTTATTAAAGGGAGTGGGGAATGCTACTTTAAAAACTATGAAAATTGTATTGATGATCCTAATTCATTATGGACTAGTTAAGGAAGGAAATGGCCAACTCAGCATGTTTCTTCCATGTCTTACTCTAAAGTGCTGAAAGGGAAAAAAAACTGGGGCTCATCCCACTTAGCTATAGGAAGGGTATTTGTGTGGGGTCCATCGAGTGCCATTCCTTGCATATCTCCTATGTTCCCTTTGTGGAAAGTAAGACTCCTTTGCTCTGCACATGGCCTTATGGATGGAGAAGATGCTTTCCACTTACAGGAATGTCCCAAGCAAAATATAAGTGATGGATTAGGTACTCCTCCAACATATGTGGCATCCTCTTAATCTGTGACATGATGTTGGAGAACAAAGGAGGAAAAGGCCACCGTTCCATCAAAGGTGATGGATGGATCACCAAAGATGGTGAAGCTATCATATAGTATTCTGTAGACCACGATAGGCTTAGGGAATTATACCACGCCTTTGTACACTCAACAATAAGTCAATAGGAGCAAAGAGGTTGACTCCGTCTTGACTTTTGAGGACTCTTCAGGTGCTTTGCTTGTGAATGAATCAGCCTGTGTTCCTCCTATCCTGGCCCTATGTTTGCCTCACCTATTTGGGATAGGACCCACAAGTGGAAGGTTTGCACAGCAGATGCCCCTCTCCTCCTTGTCTGGACACACAGTTTGTTAGACTTCATCAGTAGACGTGTCTCTCTCTTTCACAGCATTTTTTTTTTTTTTGGAAGAATAAGGCTCTTGTTACAAGGCACTACTATTAAGACAAATGTTTTTAAGACTGAATATTAAATACAGTGCTAATATACATGGTTTCCTTAAAAACTGGGATAATGTAGCCAACCCCGCCCGCCCTCCCAAGTAAACCAACAAAAACAAACATAAATATATATAAAAAGAAAAGGACAAATTTAGCACTTCTGTTTTTGAAAACCGAGTTGGTCCAGCATAATTGGTGGCTTCCTTAAGGCTCCTTTTCAAATTGTCTCAAACCTGCTGAAAGAAAAAAAAGTGGTGGGATTGCCTTTAATCACCAGAAATGTCAACATTTGGAGTTTACAGTCTTTTGACTGTATTGTTTAAATTATTAAAAGAGACTAACTGTTTTAAATTTGGGGTTTAGTTAGAAAATCCCTACTTCTCCAAGGACTTGCTGATGTAGGTTGCAACACTAAGATGAAATTTTAAGGACTATGCCAGCTTTCTTTCTTGCTCATTCCGCACAATCTAGAAGAGATTCCCAATAGATTCAATCTTAACCACCTTTAAAATAATACCCACTGATTGTTTATTTTCAAAAGACAAATGAGTAAAACTCCTAATTTTTTTAAATGGTCCATACATTTTACTGCTCCCAGCTCAAATTTTACCTCCTCATTCATGTGGGAATGCAATATTTTAGTACATCAAGCTGCAAAATTGGGTTTGAATCAGCTTATTCTTGGGTAAGAAAGTATATCTCAGTACTGGCATAATGCCTGAAAAGAAATGGATCCTGCAGAGAACCATTAGAAAGATTTCAAAAGGCTCTTTAATTCCTATTCAGGTTGGAGATGCTTAATTAGACAAGTACGGAGCTGAACAGGAAAGAAATAAGAGTAATTATACTCAGCAAGCAGGAATGTGAACAGGAAGACTATGATATATCTTACATTAAGCCATAAAGTGCTTGGCTAGATTCTTGTTTATAAATGGATCCAGACACTGCTGTATGCAAACCATGGTTATGACTTTGGATTTTGTTGAGCAAACCATCTAATGATAGTTTGTTCTCTTCAACCATGGCCATGCCAAACATAGCTTTATGTGATAGGTGAGCCAATTCACAGGCAAATTTACCCAATGATCGAGGGCAAGAAAGAAAAGACAGTAACATAAAAGGGGAACTGAGATGAAGATATAGCAACAATAGAGTGCTGTTGTCAAGAGCAGGGGTTATGGTTAGGGTTAGGCAAAGCTGGCTGAGGAATTCTGGGAGTTGAAGTCCACAAGTCTTAAAGTTACCAAGGTTGGAGACCCCGATCAAGAGGACCTTAGGAAGAACAATACAATATTCAACAGGTAGATCACGTCTTCAGAGGGTTTGAAATTAGCCAGGAAAGTGAATGTTCTGTTGTTTGCCTCTTACAGATTCCAGACAAAGAACCCCACTTGACATCAGGGACAAGCCACTGGGGAGGAGAGACTGTCTGACAATCCAACTAATATTATTCCAAAATTGAGGTTTGGGCCCCTTGTTCATGCCATGCCTGATCCCAAGCACTGGAATGCTCACTTTTGCTTACCATTGGTCTCCAACTTCCTTCCAGCTGCTGTGACCTGATTCAAAAAAAGAGAAGTTAAAAAAAAGGTTACAAAAACACAAATTGTTCCAAAGGTGTTTTTTCAAGAGGCAACTGGACTTTCTGGTTTTTCTTTGAAGACATTTCACTTTTCATCAAAAAGCTTGTTCAGCTCTGATTGGATGGTGGGGAATGGAAGGATTTATATTCCTTGCAGACAGCTGGTCATTTGCATTCTTTTAGCAGGTCGTTAAGGCCACCTGGAGGTTTATCTGTGTCCTGAATGGTACAAATGGGTGGGGAGCCTTCTTGGAACTGTTGAAAGGACTGTGTTGTAGACTGGAGATAGATGATGTCATATCCCTCCCTCTGTGTTGAGAGAGGGCTGTTCAGTTTTGACATAGATGGCCTCTTTGACCCCTCTCTCAGGAGGCCATCTCAAGAGGAGGACAGTACAGTGCAGTACAGATAAATAAATAGTTTGGGATCTATTCAACATCATTCTTCTAGATTTGGCAATTATGTCACTGAAGTTCAGCCGTGCAGTTGAAGGGGACTTCAGCACAGGGGTGCAATTCAACCAGTATTAACAACCGGTTCGGTGAGCGTGCACTGTGTGCGCATGGTCCGCATTTAAAAAAGCTAATGCTTACCTTCAACTGCAGCTGAAGAAAACAGCTGAGGCGCGGCAAACTGCTCTGCCACGCGAATCAGCTGTGCTCTAACAAAAAAACAAAAAAGAGGGGAGGGGGGGGGGGGGGGGGGGGGGCCCCACATGCTCATCGGAGTGAACCGCTTTGGAACCAGCTGATCATCAGCACAAGGGATTCGCCCAAACTGGCTATTCATTGTAAAGAAATTAGCCTCGTCCTATTCATAAACCATTCAGAAAATGATCTTTGATTTCTGGGAATGTAATTATTATTCATAAGATCCATCAAATGGTCTGAAAATGATTTCTAGGTTTTGGGTTGTTCAAGGGCTTCTTTTCCACAATTTTCTACAGTGTTGCATACTACGAATCCCAAAGTGCAGCTCCTATTATCTCTCCCTTTAAAACTTGGAGGCTCTTAACAAATGTAAAGTATAAAAAGAGCGTACCACAATTTGCTATGAGATTCCAGTTTCCGTGCGTAACTGAGAACGATTCTCTAATGCGTGTTTAGGGAAAGATGCTGTTGAGCCTCCCATCTGGAATGTTATAATTGCTCATCCCAAATCCAAATCTCGCTTTCAAGGCTATCCAAAACCTTATCGATGTACAATGTCCTACATTTGTATATTAAACAGTCCCATTCAAGTCAAAAACTGATTTCCCCCACAACTGAAAAACCAGTAGGCCAGGGATGGGGAACCTTTTATGGCTCACTCAGGAATTCTGGGAGTTGGAATAGAATAACAGATGGGATGGTCACCTTTGATGAAGAGCTGGTCTTCTCAACCGACTGCTTTTCCCAAAGGTTGCGTTTGCCAGATACATCTCCAGGTCGTAAGTCCTATTTCCCCCAAAAACACCCCAACCCAAAGTAAGTATTTGAAACCAAGTATGGTGTAAAAATATATTATTAAAGTTTGTGCTATTTAAATAAACCTTCCCCAAAGATGAATTCATAATCAGTAGCCTGAGGCTTTGAAATAATTCCTTTCAAACATAGGTCCACAGCTAACTGGACATATAGTACATAAACGAGCTGGAACTGGAAGCTCAGGGTTTTGCAGAGGAGTTTCAAAACTGATTTACCTGACTCAGTTTAAAAGAAAACAGCCAATCCAAAGGAAGAACAGAACAACGGAGGTATATATATAGAATTCCAGCCAAGAAGATGGTGGTGAAAGAGGGAAGAGAAGAAAGCAGTTGACTGAGAAAGAAGGAATGAAGAGAAAGGACAGATTAGTACCAACTCAGTTCTGTGAATAATTCTACCATAGTCCACTTATAATGTCCAGACTTCTTATATGAAAACATATTTATCTCTGAGCATATGAACATCTGGATGCTAGTTCTGAATAGAGAAGAATGTAGAAACAGGACATTGAAACCACACCACAGCTATCTAAACCACTACTTTAGCTCCATCAGTAATCAGCTGACCATTTTCAGGCATCGCCTTCAAATGCTGTCAGGTTGCAATTTCCATTTGGTTGCAAAATATAGAAACTTTGGTCTAAGCCAGGGGTGTCAAACTCGATTTCATTGAGGGCCACATCAGGGTTGTGTTTGACTTCGGGAGGAGTGGGGAGGAGGCATGGCCAGGGTGGGCATGGCAGGGTGGGCGTGGCCAGCTTGATGTCACTTGTGTCAGGGGCACCTGTGGTGGCCAAGTGCTAAGGCAGGACTTCCCTCCCTCTCATTATAATCTCCTTCCTTCCTTCCTTCCTTCCTTCCTTCCTTCCTTCCTTCCTTCCTTCCTTCCTTCCTTCCTTCCTTCCTTCCTT